AAAAAAAAAAAAAAAAAAGGAAAAGGAAAAGAAGTGGGGAGGTACATGAGGCAGCAGTGAGTGCCACCCGAAACTGAAGCCTGGCCAGCCAGAGCCACGCTCCAGCTGCTGGCTAGGTTCTGCGTGGCTGAATCACCACCGCTGGAGCACTGGGAGGGCCCCAGGACCCCATATAAGGCTGCTGGGATCAGTTCCGGTACTGGCCGTAGCCTCACCTACCCCACCCTAAGCATTTTTCCACGCACTGCTCCACATGCAGGGGCATGTGCCAGGGTAAAAAGCAGTGGCACAAATTTGTGTCACTGTTTTTTTCCCCGTGGCAACTGCACACCCCTGTTTGTGGGGATGTGGCCTATGTGGCTTATTTGGGTTCTTTTAATTACCTTCCAAGTAGAAAAATGGAACTTAACACCTATAATAATTAATCATATAATTCAATAAAAGTGTACTTCTTAAACATGTTAGGCACCTGTTTAATAGTTAGTGGTGCAGCAGGATTTGTAATACTGTACTGATACGTGTTAGTCTGTTTTCATAGAAGTGACGTACAGAAGATTCCTAAAATTGTATATTATCCATACTAAAAATAATACAATTATTTTAAAGGTACTTTCAGATGAGTTGAATATATTTTTAAGATTGAGTGATTTACTACAGGAAACTATCTCTGTGAAATCACCTATTTAAAAAAACAGACTGCTCACACATTTCCTCACAAAAGCATTTAAAAGAGTCCATATGGCTGACTGTAGCTAGAAATTAAATTTCCAGAAATTTTCAGAATTAAATTAAAAAAAACTTTTAAAGATATACTAAACTAGCCCAAAGAGGTGAGGAACCCAAAACTATCCACTTATGAGGTGAAGGTGAAAAACGGTAGTATTTCTACAACAGATGTTACTCAATGGAATAACTTGTGTGTTCTTGAAAACGTAAAGGTCTCTGGAAGTAAATAATCTCTGTTTTCCCCTTTTAATTTAAAGAATGAATAACTCTTGATACGTCAGAAAATACCAGAACATAACAGACTGTTTTTGTCAATACTTTCTAAAAATAAATAGCTTCTTTCTAAGGGCCACAAACATCTGTAGGTAAATTTGACTGCAAACTGGGAAGTTATACAATCTGTGAGCTGCTAATTAAATCTCAGGTTAATAGCATGCGACAAACAGATGCTTTCTGTAGGCAATTTAATGATTAGAAACATTGCATACCTATAACACTGAAGCAATAAACAAGGGAAATGCCAGGAGAAAAATCAGTTCTTTCTAAAGGCCAATTTTTAAAAAAAGGGAATTTAAAACTGGTCCCAATCTGTTAGCATTTTGTCCAGGAGTGGAAAGGGAAAAGGAACAAGGAAATTTGCATTCACATTTTATTACAAAAAAGAAATCACCTACTATTTAAAATGTTTTTTATATCAAAGCCTTCTGTAATCTCAGTCTAAAAAGTTTTAATTCAGGGGTCAATATCCCCCTTTGAAAATAAACTCAAACAAGAAAGAAACACAAGAAAAATTTCCAAAAGCGGAAAAAAAAGGTTTGTTACTCATTACATATTTTAAGAATGGATATAAATACAACTGGCTTTTCACCCAAAATAGGGAGCAAGTGGTAAACTGAAAAAATAAACACATAATAATAATGCCTCAATGTTTAAATTTGTAGCTAGGGAAATTCTGTCCTTTGACATGATGTTTTCTGATTCTAAATGTACAAAGGGTTTCTGAGTCAAGGAACATACTTCAAACTGCCCCTCTACTATCTCCCAGAGCAGCATTTGCCACAGTCTACAACTGAAACCTTTGCATGGCTCCTTCTCCTTAAAGGACAGATAATAAATAATTGGTAAAATCTCTGCCTTCCCCGACTACCTCTACAAGATTACAGCTCATTGAAAGATCAGTCAAAATGTAAATGAGAGGCATGCTCTGCAGATGGGAAGAAAGGCTGAGAATCACTTGTGTACCAGGGACAATTTAGGGATAAAATCCAATCTGCCAGGGCCAAAACAGCTGTGAATGTCGTAACTGAATCAGAGGTGTTAGGATGAGAAAAACACATGGAGAGAAATGGATGACACATTCTTCCCATGGGATCATGAGGTTGGAGATTTGTACAATGTCTGATCTAAAAGGTTTTTAATAAAACAGTAGATTAGTATGATTCTTGTGACTATTTTGCTGTAAAAATGTAGATAGGGGATCTCTCAAAGAGGGAAATGGAAGAACTTCACTGGATATTAGAGAGATAACACACATTTTAAAGAGAGTAGAAATGGAACAGTGTGGGGAATGTAATTGATTTTCTGAACTCTTACGTGCAAACTCCTAACCTTAGAGCACATGAAATGAGCCATTTGCTATCAGGGAGCATGTCAAGTATCATACAATTTTGTCTGGAACCAATTAATGAATAATCAAAAGAGTCACCACTAACATGTCTTTGGCCCCACAATGCAACAAATATGCTAAAGAGATGGCTTAGGCAGAAGAAAACAGGATCTTTCCCCAGGTGTCCATTCAGAGAGGAACTGCAGCAGCAGAAACTCCTCAGCAGCCAAGAAGAAGAAAAGAAACAAGTTGTTAAAACTGACTCTTAAAAACTCAAGACTTTGGAAGATTCAATAAACAAACCTACAGGGAATATATGGACTTCCTGTCCCAAACAAGCTTTTGGTAGTGCACTGCACAGCTAAGAAAGGCAAAGCCAAAGGCTGAGTATAAGGAGAGGGAAGTCTAACCAAAAAAACCCCCCTAAACTCCTCTTAAGTAGTGAGGATTCTGGAAGGCGAGCTCTTGCACGGATCCATCAGTTTCTCTTGGTGGAATTCTTTTACAAAGCCACCAAGTTTCTGATATAAAGCTCACATGCCCCTCATGGATTCAACTGTGAAACCAAGTCCTCTCAAGAATGTGCTTAAGCTAACAGGTGGAATTGAAAACATTGGTTTGGCTCCGGTTTTGGAAATCTAAAGCAGCTGGACAGTAGGTCCCAACTCGGAGAAGGAACAAGCTAGATACACTGTCAGCAGTCTGCTCAGACTTGGTGACTTTCCTCAGAAACACCTGGAATCCAGTGTTTCAGTGTTATACAACCACAGTAATCTGGTGAGTGCCTAAGTAAAAAAAGCTCAGTCAGGGCTATGACCTATATGTAACCAAGAGAAACTGGATACCCCTGGCTGCAGCTAGTAATAAAAATGACAGGACTGTTTAGCTACCGTGTGACTGATTTGAAACGCCCAGCCATCTGGTACATTTAGGTTTGTAAGAGATGTTATACAGGGGAAGATGGCTCACATCCTTGCTGCCCACCTCATTTTTCACCCAGCATAGTACCACTTGCCCACAAAAATGCATGCCTCCTCCAGCCTTTCCACATTGCCTGGCAAGAAATTAAAATTCTAGACTGATATTTATGGCTGCATATTGATATGTATGTTTGACTAGATGAGAGAAAAAATGAGTCATTTCAAGCAACTATATTGCCTCTTCTGAATCAAATGAGAATTTTTATTAACAGGTGTGAATACACATTTTTTACTAATGTATGGCTTAAAGCTCTGCTATGAAAACATCCTCTCTTACCACTATCACCTCTTCCAAGATGAAAATCAGGAACAAATAAGACTAATCTAGAATCCTTTGGTATGGTATTTTCAAGACACCATATGTAGCACCATTAAATTCACTGTATATAAGGGGCATAGCTACATGAGATGCTAACTGCACAGTAGCTGAATGATACTGCTCAGTTGCATGTCACAGCACCAACAAACAGTGCTAGCACACTACTGCATGGTATTATTAGGCTACTGTGCAGTAGCGCCACTTAAAAGGCATTCACCAGCGCTACTGCGCAGCAACTCTGGTTACTGTGCATTCATTTAGTACTTGATTATACAAATACTAAATAAATGCACAGTAACCACTGCACAGTAGACATGCCCAAGGTGTAGGTTTTGTTAATGGCACCCTGAAAGTATTAAGACACACAAGGCAATAAGAACATATTACATACCTGTCATATACATTAAGCAGCCAGTTGAGAGACATATCTACACAGAGGGGAACATTCACCAGGTCCTTGTGCTTCTCTTCAAGTCCACTGTAAACTGTAGTGAGGCAACTGATCACATCCTGGACACCAACGAGCTGGTCGTTTTGGTTCAGCTTGTGCTCTTTGAAAACTTCATTTGTTGTGTTCAATTCCAACAGGTCCACTAATGACAGACAATTATAAATAAAAATGGCATTACTAACAATATCTCAATATTCCACAGCTGCACCTTGAGTTCTCAGTTCAATCACTGCAGGGAGGATGTTAGTTGAAAGAAATGACTTTCCTTAGTAGCATTGTGGTAAAACACCTCTCTGTTAGCTGCAGTTCACTGCTATTTTTGTTTCTTACTTGTTTTGGGGGG